AAAAAAAAAAAAAAGAAGAGAGTAAACAAGAAAAACAATTTGCTACAAATTTTCCTGACTTCTTTTAAGTGTTGTCCAAGCCAAATTGCTGTAAGTTCACCTTCATCTTTCCCATCCCTAGTAGTCTTTACATAGCCTTAAAACCCTGCTTTAAAATGTCTAATATTAGCGTAAATCGATCTACACAATTATACAGCTTTGCAGAAAGAAAAAACGATAATATTTTGTTGAAATTTGAGCACTCTTCCCGTTAGCAACTTGCAATTTTATTCTTTCCTCTTCCCTCCATAGTAATTTGAGCGTAACTTTAACTGTGTCACTAAAAAATTCAGTATGCTAAGGCTACGAAAAATATATTATCCAAAGGATTTTTCAGAATAAAAAAATAAAAGAAAAATCAAATACCCAGTTGACAGCAGTGCAGTTTTTGGTTGCTGTTATTACTGCCGTTGAATAGCAACAATCAAATATGCAAATTTACGTGCTCGTCAATCTCAAAAATGTTGTTGCTGATTGTTACTATCAGTATTTTACTAAGCATAAAGCCAAAACAGAAAGAACTTTTCTTCAAACTAAACACTTAAAAAGGTATTATATAAAACCTAATAATAGGTAATAATAGACTAAAAAACAATTAGTTTAATTATCAGTATAAATTTGTAAAATTTCAATTATTTTTTTCCAATCTTTTTCTATTCCTCAATATTACTGTTGTACAAAAAGGAAGAAGATTCATCCAACATAAATAAACATTTTATAGAGATAGAAAATCCACAGATAATTAATAATGGTTAAGCCTTTAAAAATATATGTAAATTGGTTGTTTTGATATATTAAACAATGTACAGAAAAAGTAAAGAGCAGAACAGAACAGAACAGAATAACAACAAAAAATTAGTTTTACTAGGACAAACCGGAAATTTTGTGTAGCATCTGGTGCTGTTTGATTAAAAAATTAGGTTTTCCTTCTCCTTTTTTTTTTTCCTCCTTTCCCCTCTTTTTCTCCACTTACATATTTTGGCACTTTTGTATGCCTTAATTAGCAGTTTTTGTTATAAACAGATTATTACTGTCCCACATCTCCACAAGTTATAATTTGCGGTAAAAATTAGCAAATGTTACAGGCTTTGACTGCTTTTAACTGCACAGACAGACAAGAAATGTTAGCAAAAAATAGCAACAGAATTAAAAAAATAAATTTAAAAGAAGAATAAAATTTTTTGCATTATAAGACAGTGAATGGAAGAAAAAATTGCAAAACAATACCTGTACAATTGTATTTGAGGTTCAAAAGACGAGGAATGTGTGAGTGATGGGCAGGTGTCTCGACGGCTAACACTTGCGATAGGATCAGATAACATGTTTCTTCCTAAAAACACCTTTTTTATGACCAAATATAGTCATCAGATTGTTATCAAATTACTTCCTCTGAAATCATTATTTAATTAACCAGAAAGAAAGAATTTCAAAAGTTATTGAATTTTTGAATAATTACTCTCAATTTTTTTTCCTCCTTACTTTTCTTTCTTTTAGAATTTTTTTAACGAAAAAGAAAATGTCAGTATGGCTTTAGTGGCAAAAAAGATTAGATGACTTGAATTTGATCAAGAAAAAATTTTTCAGATAAAAATTGCAGTCAATAGATGTGAGATGTCATTTTAAATTTTGCAGCCAGCTAAGTGTTTGAAATGATTTTTACGGACGTTTGAACCTTCTGACAATATAACTGGTGGAGTTGAAAAATACTCTTTAATAGAAAATGTCTTGAGAATTCAGAATAACAACGGAAGAAAAACAAATTTGGTTACATTTGTGCATTCAGTGGCCATATGTACCGTATTGTTCGACTCTTGCCATGAACAGTGTCTAAAAAAAGTTCAGCCTAAAGTTTTAGCATCATAAAATTAACTCCAAAGAACAAAAAACACCTTAATCACGTCGCTTCTACTCGTTCACCCGTTCTTCTGAACAGAAAAATAATGCTTAATTTATTTTTAAAAAATAAAAGTGCTTCAGGTTTCATATGTTTCAGACAAAATTTTAAAGACTGATCTGAACCACACTAATTAGCGAAAGGGTAATTTTATAAGAATTAGCCGTTTCAAATCGGATCGGATGTTTATTTGACAGTGACAGGGTTAATTTGCCTGCATAGTCAAAACTGAGATATTGATATATATATATAGAAAATAATAACCATCTGCCACTTTCAACCCGAAGAAAGACGGTTTACATTTACATTTCGTTTACCTATATTGTTGAAAAAATCAAAAAACAATTAATAAATAAGAATTATTAAAACAAAAAACTTTAAGTGATGATAACATCTGCACAGCTATATTCGCTTTTTACAGTGTGTTTAAATTTTTTTTTAACCTACAAATGTTCCGACTAATGTCATAAACTCAACAAATATCTTAGCTCAAATAATGCTTTTTTTCTGCTATCGGTTAGCTTAATTAAACGCTCATCGAACAGTCCACCTATTACTGGAGAAGGGTCGACGCATGTATTTTGATAGAAGAAAGGTAAACTGTTGTAACCCTCAAAGCTGGGACAATTCGGAAGCACTTTTACGTTGTGTAAACATTGCTTTCAAACTTTATGCGATTGCTAATATTACTGAACAGGGTCAATTTTGATCTATCCCCTACACCGGTAACTCTATGCATATTTTACATATGTTCAATATACAGTATGCACAGAGTTACTGTCCATTTACCAACTAACAGTATCAGTCGGATATATTATACCATCATGTTTTGAGTGACTTGAGCTATACAACTACAACTGATTTCGTCAAAGCCAAAAAGCATAAAAATAATCCCAACATCTTACCCGGACTGCATGAACACTACAGCATTTTCAGTTGCTGGTTCAAACGAGATGCAAGTTTCCTCCATAAATGTATCCATCGCATTCAAAATACAGTCGTTTACCGAAGCATCTAAAGATTCATAAAATATTTGTCAAATTATTGGCTCAGCTTAGAGAGCAAAGGAAATTCAAGTAGAGGAATGACATGTGATGATCAAGTTTTTTCTTCAGCGGATTACATAATCCTATTATTTCGCAACTGATTGTTACGACTGTTTGTGAATAGGATGAACTTGGTACTACATATTTCGAATCGCTCAAAAAATGCAAAAATTTTTGAAGACTATCAAAACAATCAAAATCCTGCGAATCTTCTAAATGGCAAAGAAAAAGGAAAAAATAGCAATTTTTTGCAAATGAATCTACGTAATCGTCAAAATTAACAGTTCTGAATCAAGGTGAGAGCAATCGCCGATGGAGGCGTCATAGGCCGATCAACAGACAATATTTTTACTACAGTAGACAATTAACGGACTAATTGTTTCCCACTAACTCTGCTGAACCGATTGTTATAGGTTGTCAAAATTTTGTTACGAGATTTCCAAAGAGATAAAAAAAAAGTCTATTATTTTTGGCAAAGTTTCTGCAACTTTCTTCAACTACTAAATTATCGTCAATTAAAACTGTTACTGATGATAACAGACAGGAAAACGGATTTTTTTTTCAGTTATTATCAAGCGAATACCGGAGACAGACTGGAAAACTATGAATTGTTAAGAGTCTGCTTAACTACCTGTATAAATATTTTTGCAATTCTTTACTGAAAAGGAGATTTATGTGATCAAGTTTTTTTCCTGCTCTTATGAAAGTCCTCTAAAAAATTACGATTATTTCAGGAAATACGCTGAACGTTGTTTAAGAAATACGCATGTTTTGTTTCCGCAGGTGGTAAACTTACAACCATTCAAAAATCTTTGGCCTGAGTTATCTAACTATTACATAGAAAAAATTAATTCAAAGATAACAAACCGTTATTAGTATGAAACTTGTAGAACACTGTTTTTGCGGACACGATACTAAGCACCTAAATTTAATGGATACGTTAATGAAAAAATGACTGCAGGACACTTAAGAAGAGCTTGTCCAAATTTTAGATTTTCTACTGTAAACTTTAAGCTTAGAGATTCTTTTAGTCTTTTCTTGGGGTTTTTATCGTGAAAAAAGGTTATCAGATAAGCTTTCTCTTCATTGCTTTTCATTGAATAACGGTGACAATTTAAATTTTATAGTGACAAAGAATTGGAATTCAACAACAAAATTTTGATGCTAAATTCTCTGGTTCCCCAGAGAATCAGAAGCTATTAATTTTAATTGCCGCTCCCTGAATTTGTCTGCTTAGCAATTCAAAAATTGAACAAATCCATTAGCAGCATTCGGAAAGTTGTTTTGAAAATTTGTTAATTCAGATCCAGTTTCAAAATAAAATCCATAAAAAAGCCAAAAAAAAAAGCAAAAAAAAAATGAAAAAAAAATATAACAAAGAAACAATGAGCGATCAAATAAAGAAATAACAAATTTACCGATAAGATGAGCAGTACGGTGGAAGTCATTAGTGTAAAGCTGCAAAAGAGACTGCGAGAGCCGAAGGCAAGTGGACAATAAGTGGACACCAAGTGGACACTGACAGAACGGGGGGAATAGCAAGGGGAGGATGACGATGACCCCGGGGAGGGAGAGGGTGACCACAGTCGACGTTCACGCCCATCGCCATTGATTCCGGAGCCTCTAAACCGAAACCTAAACAAACATTAGCGGAAGATAATCCTGTGTTGTGCAGTTTTTGCCCTTTCTATTCAAAAAACTATGTAGCATATCTTTTCTCGTCGTTGTCATCGTCGTCATCTTCTTCTTCGTCTTCTCTCAGTTTCCGTAAATAACGGTGAATAATGAATGTATGCATTTTCAATCACAGAACTCTATCAGCAATATGTGATCAGTCACTGGCAATTGTATTTTTTTTTTTTTGACTTAATAAACAAAATAAGATACTTTGACAATTTAAGTATCATTTTCACTATCATATGGCATCCGTCATCGCTAACAGGCAAAGATATTTTCTAAGTAATTTTATCAGGGACTTTTCTGTAATTAAGATTTGAGTAGAATTTAGCCGTAACAACAGATGGTTGTAAGTCTTGATCGATGCGTTTACAATACCAGGAAGCTGTTTCTTTGGGAGTGTTAGTTTAAGAGACATTTATGTTAGTTTAAAAAATTGTAAAAAAATTGCAACATTTACATTTTTATTGCA